TTTGTAAAGACGTGTCTTTCACACCAGTCACAGCCTTCTTTGTCTCGTCTCAAGACTGAAATCAAGTTTAATTTGACTTTCAGTTGTGGTAAAAGCAACAAAAAAGAAAGCTCAATCATTTCAAAGTTGATTGAAAAGTTGAGATTGTTCTTTTTTTTAAAAAAAAAAATTCATTCTTAAGGTTGGAAAATTTAACAAAATAAAGCTCAAAACTTGACCATTATATGATTAAACTTTTCAAAGTTGTTCAAGGCAGTGAAGATACGTGTCTACACATCCACTTATTATTGAAAGTGCACTTTTCTTAAAAAAAAAATTATAAAAATGTGTTTTTGAACTTTTTGTCTTACCCTTGTATATCAGTCCTCTGCAGGAAGCTAAAAATAGTTAGCATCTTTACAACCAGTTTATGGCATTTTCCAGTTAGCGTTTAGCTAGTTAGCGCTCCTTCACTGACAACAGAACCTACACCTTTCCAGTGTTGATATGTATCACAAGCTGAATGAATACTTAGTGAAAACCTTTCACACCTTTCAGAAAATTAACAACCTATGTGAGTATCTCCCTTTTGCATTTCTTTGTCTCTGTCAGTTGAGTCAACAATGTTGTGAAATAATGATGAAAAAAAGGCACACAAGGCACCACGTCGCGGGTATGAACAAAGACATGAATCTAATGCTTATCATGCAAACAAGCCCGGAGAATACAGCAGCCAAAGAAAATAACAAGGAGCGTGAACAGCAACAATCAGACAGCTGCACGAGTACATTTAGGCAGGCCCTGTGTTACTGATGACAACAACACGCCAAAATAACGAGAAACACAAGGCAGGACAAAGACATGATGGGGCTGTCACTTTGTATCTGATATCTCAATACCCGTACGAACTTTAGGGAGGGAGTTGGTGTTCAGCGCTTCGAGCGCAGCATGTGCACAACGATAACCAAAGAAAGTCTAATAGATATGAAATGTCAAGTAGGATCCTGACAACCCTGTCACACAAACACACACCACTTCTCCACAGAACTTCCAAAGAAGGGCTGCACAAAGTTTGAAGCCTTGAGTTATAGCGTTTTTGCTTTACTGTCTAGACTGTATTCTGCCGCACGTCAGCTGAGGCTTAGAAACACATGGAAAACATTCCATCTGCTCAACAGCTGACTTAAAGCAGGAAGACGCGTGGCCTGACCACACATAACTGAAAATCCCTGTCGTTTTGGGGTGGGGGGCTTCCAGCTGTCATTCTTATACAAGACAGGGAGAGGAGGCCGAGCTGGCATCAGGGAGTGGCAGTGCAAATTCAGAATGGTTACAAATGCCTCCAAGCATATTTCATCATTTCCTGGACCATTCAAGGTCATTTGCAATCAATCACAACCATGAGACATATCGACTTTTTCCGACCGTCTTCTTGTTACGTCAACCTCCTTTTGTACGGTTTTTAAATAAATGCATCAACTCCAGACTTCTTGCATTTTCAAATCACGCACTGCAAACATTTCAGTGTTTTTGTCCGAAACGGGGAAAACTGCATGAATTAAATCCACACTGCTTAAGCTTTTCTGACATTGTCACAGCAGCCACATGGACAATCATATCTAAGTAGCTTTAAGTGCTGCCATTCCTACTTTCTGAAAATGCTTTGGGGGGGGCTCAGCATTTGCGTCTAAAATGGAAATGAGCTCTTAAGAACCTTTACGCTGTTTGATTGGGGCAATTATGCATGGCTCACATTAAAATCCATACACTGATAAAGTTTGACAGCGTTACCACAGCTACTTAAAACTTTTCTCTTCGATCGATAGCACAGTAATGAGCGCACATAACCGCTCATTGTTTCACCTCCTTTTCGGAGATGAAAACGATCATCAAAAATAGAACAAAATTCTCTCTGTGAGCAGGAACAAGACAGCAATTAACCAAAGGGAGGGAGTGAATGAAGAATAGAAGTAGAAGGTCAATGGTATTCACTGTATTGTGTATTTTGGAACTACTCCTTTCACCGTACATATAAATGAATTGAAAAACAATGAATATTTTTTGATAACGTACTGTGGGTCGCATGTTGCTAGGCCACAAGAGTATGTCATTCATCCTCTATTCTACTGCAGAACATTGTCACTTGTTGTAATCTCTCTGCATTTCACCACAGACCGGAGCCCTCTGAGATTGCGTCTGGGCTGCATGTGGCCTTCAGCCCACTCTTTGAATAAGCAGGGTCTACTGGTAACGTTATGATCATACCAAACCCAGCACAAACCTTTGCGGACGTTAGAAGTGAAACTACAGTGTTGTTATATGCTAGGCGATAGATGATATAGAGTGACCATTGGTTCCGTTGGGTACTTTTTGCCTTACTAGACTTGCCCACTGCCCTACCCAAATATTTGCCCACCACAGACCCTCTGATGTCCATGTGTGCATATTTATCATTCATGTAAGGAAATGGTCTGATCACGGTGACAACAGCACCTGTCTCTGCGAGGCACCACAGCTAAATTAAAACATCACACTGAATTTGCATCTTGACAGACATAAGCTTTAAGATTTGCCCCCGTGTGATGTGAAACTCTTCGGACACCAGCTGATAAACAGAGCCAGCAGTGGCAGCTCATCAGAACTTGAAGGACTGCAGGCTAGTCATGTCAGCACAGTAAATGGAAATCACTCAGGCATTTCACAGTTTAAACCAGCCTGACTCACACATATTACTCTTTCAATTTAGGTATTCGAACTGGGATGTGTCGGTCCTTTCCGATGGTTCCCCAGTTTTAAATGCAGACTTAACCTAGAAACATGTTCAATAGTGCACCAGCCTACAAGCATGAGATTTTTTTTACCATCTGTGGGAGAGGAGGATGACATCCTGTTTGTAAACCTAATAAACCTTCTTTCCTCCAGGCAACTACTTACATCATATACCCCCGTGCTTTGCCAAAAATAATCATGAACACTCGCAGTCGGTTGCAAAGGCAGCACCATAAATCAAACCACAATATAAAATTTGCCTAAGTAGCACCCCTGGGTTTAATAATGACTGGTACTGTCACCATCTGACAAAGCTTTCATTCTCCTCCTGAGATGGATTTGTGCGCCAAACAAACTCAAGTGCTGCCAGGTGAAAATGAGAAAAACAAGACGTGCAAATATCACACGATGTGGTAGACATTAGCGTGCATTATGTTGTAAATGTAAAGTGTGAATAAGGAAGTATTGCTCCCGTGTGGCTGTATCTATCCAGCAATTGGATTGTCATTGTGCACAAGGTTGAAAAAGTGGTTCTAGATAAAGGATTTGTGAAGTCAGATGGTGCAGATTATTAGCTGTAATGTCGATGTTGGCAAATAATTTATGTCGTAAGAATGTGACGAGCACCACCATAGCATGAGAAAATATCAGGATTTCAGAAGTGATTCATGCCAGTGATCCACTCAGCCTCGCACAAAAACAAAACCTACTCCTTCCACCTGAAACGCTCTTCACCGACTCAAACTGATTCATGAATATTATGCAATCCAGAAGAAACTCCACTCTCCTGCCTACACTGTAGATAAGAATCTGTACTGTGACAGCATGCACTCGCCTCACTCAACAGTGAACAATACCCCCCCCCCCACACACACACACACACACACACACACACACACACTCTAGTGAAAGTGGCTTCTTAAGCAATGTGAGGACACATGAAGAGAGGCACAGGCTGGTAATCCTTTCGGCAAAGTGGGGGCCTCCACATCGGGGCATCTTCTAACCCACCCCCACCCGGGTCCTCGCCAGCAGCACTGACAGCCTGGCCTCCCAACACAGGACCAGAGAAGCCATCTGGTGTTTGTTTGAGAGCGGCAGGCAGCATGTACCTAATGTATGTGTGTGTCAGCAACAATGACTGTATATGTAAGTGTTAGTGTGTGTGTGTGTGTGTGTGTGCGTCACTGATTGTCATCAGGTGTGTACTTGTGTGTCTTTGAACATTGTTGTTTTTACCTGAAGCCATGACTTTATAACGGCAGAAGTGCAGAACAAAGAATGACTGGGTGTCTACACACACCCACTGAATGACTTCATACCCTGGGGTGTTGATGGTGGCTATTCAAGTGTGTGTGACTCAGGTGAGTGTGTGTAACAATGTGTGCTGCTATGTCTGTCTACTCACCCTTGTTACTCGTTCTACTCACTGGGAATTGTTATTTGGTACAAACCCAAGCCAGGAACACATTTATGTGGTTTCAGTTACAATGTAAATGATGGTTTGGTTTGTGTTGTGGTTTGGCGTCACCTGGTCCTGGTCCTGGTCCTGGTTTGGTTAACCTGTGTTGTTTCAGATGTTAAAAATGCAGTTTCTCACAGATACAGAGCTGCATCTTTAAGGTTCCGGTCAACTCCATAACATTTCCAGGCTGTGTATCTCACTGTGGTTACAGTGACCAACGACCAGTGACTCTAGTTATGACCAAAGTCTGATCTTAATTAGAAAGTCATTTCTTGACCTCTGGTCAAAGTCAGGATGAAAATTAGGATTAAGGTTCAAGCACAAGGTTTGGTTCAAATCAGTGTTAGTTAGTGTTAGTACTGCATACATGTCTGTTATACTCTATAACAGAGTAGTACTGTAGTATTCATCTGTTGACAAAAACAACCGTTCATTGCATGTGGTCAGACAATATGGGGTTAATCTGTGACTAAAATCCAAATATCCCATTAACCTAGATCAACACACACACACACACATGCACGCGCACACACATCTGCTCAAAGGCATCTGTTATTACAGCAGCGATTATGGATGTAGCCTACTTCCACCTGACTGCTGGTGACTAGTTTTTGCTCTTTCCCAAATGACCAGCTCAAAAGCACGCGTCTCGTCCGCTCGCGTGCAGAGACACGGGCTCAGCTGATGCAGACGCACTTCATTAATGTGGCACAGACAGTAAGAAAAAAAAAAAAACACCACACAACAGTCTGGATCCAGGCTGACAGCTCCGCTCCAGGTGACTTACCAAGCAGCGCACAGACGAGCAAGAGCGCACCGGTTGCCATTGTGTGTGCGCGTTTCCCCGCAGACCCACTTCCAGCAGCTATTCCCTGAAGACGGAGAGGCGGTGTCTGGACGGGTTGACAACGTGGTTAACCGTTGATCCGCAATCAGAAACGGGACGAAGAACTGGGAAGTCCGCTGTGTTTTATCCTGGGAGTCAGATGTCCAGCCGGTGAGGGGAGCCGGCGGTTTGCCAATGTCCGGACTCACCTCTCCTGTGTCCTTTTGATAAAGAATTAAAAAAAAAAAAAACTAAACCTTCACCTATTTGCTTAATATCCCTGACGACGTGTGCGTATGCCAGCCGCCTGCGAGACCCAACCCACTCCCACGCCACGTTCACGCATCCGAAACTGCGGAGGTGATTCACGCTCACCGTGGAAGAGAGAGGGGAAAAAAAGTCCAGAGTGACCGGTTCGTTTTTCAGGGGACGCGGCAGTGACCGAGGAGACCGGCGATGATGTGCAAAGTCCTGCCGCTGTGGAACCACACTGGAATGAGTCAACAAATCCTCGTTTCTTCGCTGATGAGCAAGCAGAGCTCCAGGCTCCCGGCTTCCTACACGGCAAATCCCGGAGCATGTGATGATCACCGCTCTACTATCGTTCCGCACAAAGCCCGGTGGGCGGGCGCTGTAGATGGAGCAGACAAGGCTTTGTGCGCTGACACAATAAATCACATTAATCAATAAGCGCGTTTAAACTCCAAAACACTGGCTTTCACTCCTTTGATCACTCTCTCTCCCTCTGTCTCTGTGATCTGTGATCTGTGATCATCTAAGGCACCAGAAATACTGAGTGGAGTCTGAAAATAAATGAGTGAAATCCAACTGTTTGTGTCTTGAGTTCACCGCTGCTTCTTTCCAGTCGCTCAGGTAGCACTGCTCAGATCTGACCCCAGAGACACGCTCACTCTCTCCCTACATGTACTTCCTTGTTCCTGCAAGGCAAAGCCACTTTTGTTTGTCCCTGCAGTTTGAAAAAACTTGCCTCCCAGCTGCCTGCCTTATGCCCCCACCCCTCCACCTAAAACCACGCCCCGGCCTCGGCGGGGGACACCACTATTCTCAAGAGACCTCATCTAAAATTCTGAATTTAAATTTATATGGAGGCCAGTGAGGACGTTGGGGGTAATTATTAAGCCTCCCGTGGAATGACGTCTTCTTGGCTGCCTGGCTGTGTTTTCACTGAAACACCTAAAGTACAAATTAAATCCCTATTTTATTTGCTGCCTCTGGGAAAAAGGACAAAGGTATCGGGTTGCAAACGGTCGGTGCAAAGGTAAAGCTGCAGTAGTCAACAAAAAAAATGCTCCACTGGTTTCAAACTGGAAATCCTCCCTTACATGGAAGTTGCAGTATTTTGCAGCAGTGACAGAGAATCAGACAAAAAAAAAACACATTACATATAAGAATTTGCAGACTTTACAGAATCTGAAATACTTGATTAATCCCCAAGGGGGAGACATGATGTGACTTGAAGTATGGAATTTTCATTATACATCATTATGTCTGTGTGAGACTATGATGGAGTTACTTATATGTATGTATCTCCGCAGGGTCTGCCATGAATACCTATGATTTATCACAAATCCCGAAGCATTGACACAACAATGTCTCCAGTAGACCAGGGACCAGGGCTGAGAGGACATCATGGAGAAAAGACACCAAAATCAGCACCAAGATTTTTTTTAATTTCTTTCTGGGGTGGAGGTATTATATTATAAAAGAGAAGGTGAAAATTGGAGCCTTTGTTGAAAGAGTTTGTCTCAGTGGATATTTTTTAATTGAAACACTAAACAACACAGAGTCCACGGAATCTGTCTCTAAACGTCCAGATTTACACTCACATCAAGAGATTACATTTAATGATCTTTTGTTCTCCCCGATTTGGTGTAGTATTTATGTTGTCAGATGCAAATTTGGAAATTATAACGTTTGAAAAAATTTGTTTCTGCGTATTTATTTTGTTGTTTGTCATCTGTCGATTGGCTCTTGTGCAACTTGTTTATTGTGCTTCTGTCTGTTTTAAGAGGATTTTCATTTGAGTGAATGTACAGTACTCAGTGTTGGTGACTGTGCGCTCTGTCCAAGTACATCAAATTTGCTGGCATTCTTTAAGGACTGCCAATAAAGATGTGTTTATACATTTCAATAGATGTTTTTTGTCGTGTTAAAAAAATAAGATTAATATTTTAAAAGGCAAAGCTTTTTGCACAGAGTCAAATGTTCACACAAGTTAATGCCAAAACATTTATTAAAATTTTAACTATTAATAAAAATAGTTCTCAGTTCATTTATTTATCTTCTTGGGGTGGAAGGGGGCGCTACATTAGCGCCAATCCCACAACAGTTATTGAGCATTGTCAGTGCAATGAAAGGGGGCTCAGCAAGGTAAACAAATTTAAATTCTGAAAACAGCCTTGTAGGAAATATTTTTTTAAATATTTTTGTAACTTTGGAATCACTGTCATAAGATGACCAGCTAATCGGAAATCTTAGGCTCTAAGGCAGGAGCGCTAACAACTTTCCCCATTATTTTAATGTCCATATGTCCCTTTTCTGTTTTCATTATTTGAACTCATTAAGTTTGTGAGCTACAATTACATTTTCTGTAGAACCTGTTTGGCTTCTGATTCCCTTTGTTGCTAATAACAAACCAGTGCGTGCTACAACCAGAAAAGCGGAACATAATCCTCAGCAGGTATCGCAGAGTTTTCTAAACGCTTATTCTCCTATGTTTTTTTGTTTTTTTTACCAAAGTCTCTCCTTCAGCTCCTACTAGAAAACAGAGGAAATTGTGTCTCTGTTTTTCTTCTGTACTAATGGGTGTTTTGTACTTTCGTCTTCAACCCCACTGACGGCAGTTTACTGAGAAAAACAAGTATCTTTGAGTTTAAGCCGGAGAAGAAAAAAAAATAGCTTCTTGGGGTTTGAAGCAAATTTGTATTCCGTATGAGACGGAGCTCTGCTGGAGCAGCACCACAGTGAATGGGTTATCAGTGTTATCAAAATGAATACAGAGCATTGATTTGTATGGACAGTCCGTGTTACTGACAGCTGGGCTATCCAATGGAAGAGTGGCTGCGAGTGACATAACAGGAGGTGGCCACTCATTAGTCCTTAATTAATGCTTAATCATCCATTTCAACACTGGCTAATAGGAAATAGTTTTAGTTCAGGAAATAGTTTTTGATGCTGCAAATCAACGGAGAAGAAACGTAATTTTTTATTATTGTTCATCGAAGTAAAAGAAAAAACCTCCAGCAAAGCACTTTCATCCAACATCCACAGCTTCACTTTTGCCACACTTACGGCTCCATCCATATCTTATATTCCCTCCATGTGCCCAGCAGCACACAAACATTCTCCCTTTTTAAATATTAGTCTTTCATTAATGATGTTTACTTGTCTCGTGCTGATCACAAAAGTCTCACTCCCATGCATAATTTACCCAGCAGTCACAGAAATTTTATATCACTACCACCTCCTGTTTCCCCCTACCCCACACTGTCACACGCACAAACACACGCACACACATGCACACACCTCTGGCAGCTTTCATAATGAGGCGCTGGGAGCCACTCTCCATGAGAACCGTTAAGTCGGGTCACGTGGAACATCCCTTTCACTGTCATTGATTATGATGGGAACGGCTTCTCACATATGCACAGATTTATTGATTCTGCCACATTATTAGGAGGCTCTCAAAATAGACGCGCTTGAATGGGAGTTAATCAGAAGATAGCGAGAGCAGGCAATTTCTGCTCTGCACCGAGCTGTAAACCACCTTTTGCAAAAAAAAAAAAAAAAAGGACAAAAATATGGACTCCAAAACACACTAATTTAATGAAATCCAAAGCGCTCTCCTGGGTAAAAGGTGCATAAATAAAAGAGCAGGCCTTTGCATGTTCCGAACGAGGAGAAATTGCAACGGACCCATCTGGTACATCTTTCCTTATCAAGTGAGAATTTGCACATCACATTCTAAAGAGTGACTGATTGCAGCACGGAGAAATTTATTTTATTTATTTTTTTCTTGCCATCTCGAGCTTAGATACAGCTTTCTTAACAACTAGTGAAAAGATGTTTGCATCCTCAGGCAGAGTACTGTTCGTTTATGGTATGTTTACCCAGCATCTGATTAAAGGTTAAGCAAACACCATATGGCAGAAAAAAATTATGTTTCTTTCTTTTCTTTTTTTTAATCAGTAAGAGAAGTTTTTATTTCATGTTTAAGAAGAAATTAACTAAGTAATTAGGGCACACTGACATAAAATAAAAGTCCTGATTTAGAATTCGTCGTATGGAGGTGATGTCCATCTGCAGAGACCCTGCCTTCTGTCGGTATTTTCTCTTTTTACATGCTTTGAAATAGTGGTGGTTAAAAAGAAGAAAATCCAAGGATGACAGGCTTTCATTCAAGTCTCTCATCTTTTGAAAGTAATGTAAGGCTTTGGGGGAAGGACAAGTTCAGTTTTACAACAAAACCTTGGGAAGAGGTTGATAATTCTACTGTAAACTCTTCTTAAAAGCTCTTCAATGTCATAAGAAATATCTTTCTGGGTCAGAATGTTGTGCCAAAGTTTCATAGTTTACATAATGAAACAAGGCATATTTATATGTGATATATTTATACGTACAGCTGAACACTGATTCTGGATCTGCTGGAGAGAACACAAATTAAAGTGTGCCACAGATAAGGTGAGGCTTATTTAAAAATAAATAAATAAATAAAAACACAAAATTGTCAGAAATAACTTAACTGAGAAGCGATTAAAAGTTAGCAATACGATACGTAAAAGTTAGCAAAAGTAGCACAGAGGCAAAAATTGATGCTAAAAGAAGATCTAAAAAACACATTAAAAAGCTCAAAGCTAGCCAAATTGCTAGCTAAGCAATTAGCCAAAAATATTAAGCATAGAATTAAATATAAACTGCTACAAAAACATCAAGACAGAAGTTTTGAGCCACATTAACGTGTCATATTCAGCCCTTCTATTTGGAAACATGCAGTGCAATATCACGGCGCCATCATGCTGTATGTTAGTTCAGTGTTGCCGCATTAATACACAGTTAAACAGAGCTGACTACTGTGTGTAGGACATATGCATCACACCTGGTCTGTATAGTAAAAATGAGCTCGCTTCTCCTCTGCCTCTTCCTCATTGGTGGCTGAGTTACAGCCCAGTACTAAGTGGAATGCCATTGAAGGGGAGTTGTAACAGCATCCTGTTGAGACTGAAGACTGCGCTAACCTTTGACCTCTTTAACAACTATCCGCCAGCATGTTCAGTCACAAAAAAAAGGTATTGTTTTATTTCCAAGGGAGGTTTGTGATGCTGAGGAACACAGTGGGTCTCCATGGAAACTGAGGAGGCTGCATTATGTGCACTTCATAACAGGATGGGTCCTGATTGCTTCAGCCATCGCAATGTGTCCTTCATGAGTGTGGAGCTCTGCACAGGACCCTTTGTGTTAAAAAAGACAATGTGAATAATTTAGTGGCCTTATGGCAACATGCAGTACACAGGACTGGTGTCAGCGCAGGCATGTTCACGGTACAGGCATTTGTAATTTTTTTTTTCATCATGCATGCATTCTATAGCTTGACACCAAAACTGTGTCAATGATGTTCTTTCCTTTTTTGTTAACTAGCATTCCTTTTTTTCCGCTCTAACACAGCTACGTCAGCGTTACACACAGGGATGTGTGGAAGCCAGACTCACACACTTCACACATTTATTTTCTCCAGAAGAGAACCGAGCTGTAAATCCTTGATCTCTCTAATATCCATAATTGGTAAAAACACGGAGAAGCTTATCAACAGTTATTTACTGGCTTTTCTTACACTTGTCCGATCGGATTAAAACTTTTAATCGCAGTCTGTCTGCATGATTGTGCCAACTGTGCCAAATGACTGCAGGTCATTTGGCACAGTTGAGGAAACCAACGTACAGAAACATAAAGAAAATGTAACTTTACAGCATGGGTGAATTGTTTTCTTTTGTAAATATTGTGGTAGATAATCAGTAATGAATGTATTT